TACAGGATTATAGTTGTTACAGTACTGGTGCAGTCGTACAATTATAGTGACTTCCAGATGTTTCACTTAAGATGTCAACTTTAAAAGTGCATGCAAGGACGCCAGATTAGATTGGTGTATTTCACGTCATCATTATGGGCTAGGAGAAATAGATGCGACGTTCGTTCCCGCGCTCAGTGGCTGCACACATCATTTGTAAGACACTGGCAGGTGTGGACCATTTTTGAACTAGGAGAGGAACGCTCGTGTTCAGGGAATGTCGTGTCGGGGGGGACGTTCTGATAGACAGATGTAAACTCACCGTCGCAAGAAAAATTTCAAAATGCTAAAATATCTGTTATCTAAAGGAATACGCTAAGGCGTGTTTTCTATGCATATCAAAGCGTTTTTATGATTGACATTTCGAATGAATCACCCTGTTGATGGCGGTTATTTGGATAATACTTAAAAGATAAAAAGACGTATCGTCAAAAACAAGAAAAACAAAGCAAAACATTATAAAATAAAACAATTATGGGTAAGGCATGAATTCATGGGAGCTCCACGAACAATTCGTACTGCCCGGAGTCTCGTGAAATTCCGAAATAAAACTATTTTTAGACCGGTCCGAGCCACGAAGGGTCCACGCTGTTAGGTATCGCGACGTCTTAAACCTTAGAACCGTGCATTTGGAAATGCACGGAAATGCCCAGGTCGTGACTGGCCCAGAAAAAAAGAACAGTAGGAAAATGAGTGCACTATATTGATGATGTTGCATGCGTTGGTCGGTAACCCAGGTAAATTGCTGATTTGAACTAGCTGCGCGCAGCCAACTGGCATTCATTGTTTTCCGTAGCAGACCACAAACATTGCGACACCTAACCGCGTTGGCCCTTTGTGGCTCGGACCAGTCTGAAATATCTTCCATCATATTTTTCCGTAGTGCTTTGAATTTAATTATTGATGACTGAGGCTCTGGAGCGAAACCTTACCGCCATCCCAGCGCATGTGCCGGTGGTGCAAAAATGTTGTGGGACAGCAGGTTGGTTTTTACTTCCGTCGCATTGCAATGTGGTGCCATGTAGCGTAGCAAACTGGTGCATTCGACGCTTCATCACCCGAAGCATGCGTGGTTACGCAGACATGTGCCTGGCTCCCAATATCGGTTCTTGGTTAACATTGGCTCCCATGAGCAGGGATACTTGGTCCCGGCTTCCGCTGGTTCTTTCATGAACACGAGCCGTGGGAGGGATGTCACTGTCTCAAATGAGAATGAATTTATTTGGTTGTATTGCAAATACCAGACCACGGTACCTATTTCCCACTGTTTCTTGCACAAGCACCAAACCCTAGTTTCAGGTTCCCATTGGTTCCCTCGTGAAGAGCATAGCCCGGTTTCTGGGTTTCACTGGTTCCTCACAAACACCACCAGCCGATTTCATTTGGCTTAGTCTCATAACATCATATCCTTTCGTCTGTTCTTCTTGCATTTATACTTGTTAGCCGCTCGAAATTCATTCATGATTTTTTCAGGTCTTCTACTTGTTACTTCATTCGCTTGGTTCCATTCGTTACAACACTAACTCACTCGTTACAACACGTTACCACAAAATACCATAAAATACCTCATCTCGGCACAAAGACCACCTACGTGGTCCTTTTACAGGCATTGCATTTTGGTGGGGTTTGTTCAGTCCTTGAGTCTGGCCAGTGCGCAAAAATCCGAGCTAATAAAGGAAACCAAACCCACCGTAAGTCGCCTGCCGGTTCTGCCGAAACCAAACCCACCGAAAGTCGCCTGCCGGGTGCACGTGATTCTCGAGTGTCATGATTGGCGTGGTCAAACTGCCACACGAGAGATGCTTCCACTGGGACACGCTTTCCGCTGGCAGTCACCGGCCGACACTGACTGACATGTCTCGCGTGCGGAGTGGGCCGTTACTTCAGCCTCTCGGCAGGACTCCCGCGCCGGCGTGACTCGCCTGGCGCCGGCCGGCAGCGCCGTTCGTCACGAATGCAGCAGCGGCCGGGCACGCACTGCTCCAGGTTGCCGCCGAGGTGCTGGTCGCCTCCCTTCACCGCTGTTTGTGGCGGTGTCGCAACGAGTCTGGCTGGCGGCTCGTTGCTGCGAGGCGAGCGTCGGTCGAGTCGCGGCTCGGCCGCCGCCGCCGCCGCCGCCGCAAACATGGCCGTAAATACACCGTGCGCCGTCAACAGATACCGTGGACGGGCGCTGCCCGGTGCGGGCGATAGAAAGTCAACGCCTGGCCTGGCGGTGGCGGAGCGCGGCGCGTGCCGGCGCGTCCCGGCAACGTGCAACACGCCGCCGGATGGGCTGGCAACTAGGCCGATCCGACCCAGCACGTGCGCAGCGCCGCCGAGCCGGTTGCAGCCCCCGGACGAGGCCCGTCGGCGGCACTGGCTTTTGATCGCCGTGCACGCGCTCGGTCTGGGGCTTATGAGCGTTGAAGTAGGGCCTACGGATGTAAGCGTGAGGGTAAGCGACGTATGGAAGGTTGTTTGTTTACATACTGGCTGAATGTGACATGTAATCTGATACATGGCTATCCGCGGGACGGGCAATCCAAATATTCCCACCCGTAAGCCAAGGCCTTGACTGACGAGCTGATTTCCGTTTTGCATCGGTATTCTCCCGTGTCAATCATCTGAAAAAGTGTCATTTCCTGTGTCTGTTAAGTACAAACGAGAACTTTTTACGGCCGGAAAACGGCGGACAAACAGTCATGCCATCCGAACCTCAGAGATTTTCCAAAGAACTGCTTCCACGATATCCGTGTGGAAATGCACAAACGCTCACAGTCTCATACAAATCAAAATGTCGTGGACGAAAACGCGTGCTGCGCGCGAAGGCAGTGCAAACACAACCTTCTTCCAAGCCAGGTTTGCTGTGGTGCCCACAAACTACTACCAATAGCTTAGCTTCCAACAGTTTTGCTCTTCGATGAGACAATATTAATATTCTTATTTCTCTTGGACAAAACAGGAGAATGGGAGATAGATGTAATATTTCGGTCACATGCCTCTATCGAAACGAATAGCAGTTGTGAATACAAATTTCCCACTGGTATTCATTTCGATAAAGGCATGTAGCTTAAATAGCGCATCTATTTTCGCTATTATTCTGCTTATTGTACGAGGAATATGGCTATTAATGCTGTCTCATCTATACGCATAACGTTGATCGCAAATGCATTTAACAACCTATGTAATTCTGCCTTTCGCTTGAAAACCTAAGGGCTCTATGTTTAGCTCTTAAGAATTTGATGAGCTTCATGAACATGAACAACACTGTCGAGCAAGTTCTGCCCAGTGTTGCGCGCATGCATCAGCGTAGCATTTGTTCTCTAAAAAATAAGCTTTCCTGATTATATGTATATATATATATATATATATATATATATATATATATGTATATATGCACGCATATATAGTATATTTATCTTTCCTACTTTACGCTTTGTTTCAATGGTTTCGTCAAAACGCACGATGGCTAATTCATAAGCCTTGATCGTTGGGTCAGGCCTCTCAAGGTCATGCCATATCGAGATTTCGGACTGCGGTAAGATCCACCTCGGAACCGCGGCGCCTAGCGACATGCAACGAGACTCTGCGTGCCCTCTGATGCTGCTCGCCTTCGGCCGGGTGCCAGTGTTAGTCTGCTCTGCGACCTGCACCCGCACACTTGCAGCCCCGGTTGCATCCCCGGACGAGGCTCGTCGGCGGCACTGGCTTTTGATCGCCGTGCACGCGCTCGGTCTGGGGCTTGTGAGCGTTAAAGTACCGTGTTCCGAGCGAATACCACTGAGCAAACGCGGGGCACCTGTGTGCCCGCTCGAGAACAGAGGCTGGAAAACTGCGCGTTCCGCCAAAACGCCGAACTTATACCACCGGCCGCCGGCGGGACGTATCGGACTGAGAAAGCGGCACTCGCTCGCCTTGTTCAGTGCCATTTGTTAGATAGTTCGCCGGACTAGATCACTGCCGGAATGGTGGGGAAAGTCTTCTCTTGTCTGCATGCGTATGAGCGTTATGTGTGCGTGTGCTGCATGACTTCATGTTTCATTCCTTCATATGTGAATTCGGGAACAAGAGCCGCTATGATAGTAGATTACCCTGCGATGTTAGCGCGCATTCAAACCTGCATGCATTTGTCAATTGTGCAAACGAGTCGACCACACCTATACTGGGTCTTGTGACACCGTTTGATATCACATACTATTTCAGCATATATGTCATGCAGAGGAGTTTAAAACGTCATTCTTCTCTCAGCATCATGTTCATTGTGGGTTATGTCAGGACAGGAGGCAGGATTTTGATTACCTGGCTGACCCTCATGTCCTGGTTTGAAACACCTTCACAGAAAGCATCAACCAATACACAGTTTGGAGAACTGATGCAGTGTGTCCTGGGCTGACCGAGACAAAAATGCGATGACTTGAACACCGCGACCCAATCTCAACGAAAGATGGTCGGCAAGGACGCCTAGTGACCCTCACCGGACAGAGTCCCAAACGGGCTGTCCGATGCCGCTTCCTGTTTACCGCAAACGTGCCTGCTTTTTATATGTAGCAGCGGCGGGCCTGCGAGACCCCATCGTCAGAATAGGCCGAGCAAAGCGCCCGTCCGGAAGGGGCTCAGCACCTGTTTGGTTATCACATGTGACCCAAGAATGTTTCACGGTTGAACAGCTCTCGATCTTTTATGTAAGAAGAGGCTAAAGGAGGTGTGTGGCGGGGCTCACAACTGAACTGTTCGATAGATTATATCCTCATCCATTATTTCTAACCTTCAGCTTTGAAATCGTTCGTTTGACTTCACAGCTGGTGCATGAATCGCTAACCGTTTGGAAGAATGCATCTATGATTCACGGTGGCGTTATTCCGCCGCGCCGGGTGCTTTCCTGACTACTGCAGCCCCCATGAGCGGATGGTCAGCCGGTTACAGCTCATTAAGTGGACTGCGACCATCCCTAGATTTTCACCATTGCCATTTGTTCGCAGGTTGGAAGAGCCGCCTGTGGCTCTTCCCACTGATGATTCTTCCGCCGCTCCTGACTGCGCAGTCCGTGGGGTCATCACTGCCCAGTGTAAGTACCGTCTTCCGAAGCTGCCAACCAGACGCGCGCATAAATCTCAGGAAACAGCCCCAGAATCCGGAATTCACCCTTGGAATCTGTGCACATACTTTCTAACAAGTACTGAGCTCAAAACAGCCAAGCTGTGCTGTTGGTCGATCGCGTGATGGGTGCGAGGCCGAACGTCTGATGAAAGCGTCTGTTTCGCTGCTGTGCATGTATCTCACAGCATGAACCGGTGTAAGCATATTTGGAGCGCCAAATATCGTGTGGGGAAATCCGCACATGCATGCATGTGGGATGAATAATAAGCTGTACCTGTCATCATAACAATCAACACGAGGCATGCCGCGCTTTGGACATTGTTGTGATTCAAACTTTCTTATTCCATAACGGTGATGAATATATGAATGGCATGTATTACTCTGAATACCGATATGATAGTCAGGGAAAATAAATAAAGCGGATAGATGGTGCGTTGTATCGATTGACACCTGCGTGGTTAATTTGTGAGGAATTGTCATATTACCCGACATCCAGATGAACTCTTCTCGTACGTGCGTACAACGTAACAATCGCAATTGAGTGCTTGCGCGCCTGCCAACCTTAGTACTTTACCCGAAATTAATCAGCTTTCAACCTTCTCAGGCGTGGGCGCAAAGTGGTCTCAATGCCGATGCGCCCTTGACCTCCAGACCACCAAAGCGAACCCTTTCAGGCTGGGACAATATTCACTCTGGCCTTACGTCAGAGGAGGTGCAGCAGCCGGCCATCTCAGCTGGCTGCTACTGGAGAATTGAAATTATCTTTTCGCCATTGAGTTTCCCTCACGTGGTTCTCATAGCTGACCTGAGAGGTAAAGTCAAAGCCTGTACCCATAAACCCTGATGCGTGAGAAATTCAACGATATCCGGTTTGACCTTTTCGAGCATCAGTTACCTTTCAAGTAAGAAAGACTTGCTTGCTTGTGAACAAAACAATGAGCAATGCGGCTTTCTGGCGTAAAAGCGGGGACTTGAGTGGGACAAAATAGCTAAACTCCGGATGTTTAGAATTAAAAAACTGTAAACGGAAAGTACACCCGATTATGGATTTTACAATCGGGTGATTTCCCGGATAGATTTGCCAATATTCCAGACAATGCGCCCAAATCTGTCAAGATAGACGGTTATGCTTCTCCGTACACCTTCCTTCCTGTTCAACCCCTGAACTTTGCCCTCGGCTCCCGACCTGGGAAATCAGTTGGGGAAACCGGGGAGGAGATCACGTCAAACAGGATTAGTTATATGATTATGATCAAGCTCACTTCAGTTAGTGCCAGTGCAAGTTCAAGTAGTCGGGGTGTAACCTCACAACAACGGTTGAGGGTGCAATTCAAAGTTACGCGTTCGTTCTTTCCATGCAACGACATAGGCCTAACGTTAATGCTCCGACATGCTGGAAATACAGGTGCATCACCAACTAACCGCGAAGACTTACAAACATGCAAGGCACAGGCGTCCAGAGCGGCGAGAAGGATCTTGACGCTCAACCAAACGATATGTGAGATGGACCCAGCTTTTGTGTCGTATCTGCCGAATCAGTACCGCTGAGGATGTGAGCTTGATGCCATAACAAGTCGAAGTCGGTCGTGTATCAATGGTGTGAGAATGGGCTTTATCTGAATCACTGCTGTCCTCGCAGTAACGGTAAATCGGATCACCACCATGTCATAGACGAAAACAGCGTCGTCATCTTTCAAACCCATTCCCGAATGTCAATATAGCTACAACCGTGGTAATGCTTGCTTTATAAACAATAACACCAGTTTCCTGTTAAAGAGGGCAATGCCCATCCATATCATTGGTGGTTTTGACCTTATCTCGTTAGTCAGGTGGTTTTGGCCAAGGCACTATCAAGTTAGATATTGATTACATTAAAATAATGAACAAGGATTGGATCTGCCGCAAAATCGTTTCGGCGTTAAGCATACAGAAAACTTATGACATGCTTGCCACATATGCATAATCGGTAAATCTTGAACTCAGCTTCAACCATCTTCGGATATCTTTTGTAAGTAACTTCTGCATGGTTTTGATCGTAAGATGGGCTCAATGGAAAACGAATATCTTTTGCAGCCGGCTTCTCAAAGCAAAGGGTCGTAGAACCCGAACACTGCCCCGTTACCGCCGGTAGAGCAGTGATACAATCTAGCATAAAAACAACCAAAACCGAAGCCCATTCGCATGGCGAGTTCCCAGAGCAGGAAAAACGGCAAGAGGTGCAATAGAAAGGTTCACTGAGCGCGGCCAGCCTGCAGCGCACACCGCTACGCAGCCGCGGTGGAATCATCCCGTTATAGTCACTAGCGCAGTGGTCATGGCGACCGATCTCATTCTGCAGTCCATGTGCCAAGTCAGCATAGGATGTGTACATTTGGTCGCTGCAAGGCTCTACAGAGCGTTGTAGAACTCCGGCTATCGATCCGTGGAAAATACGCGGGCTGCGAAGCCAGCTTTTCACTGATGGCGAGCTCCAAAACAAGAAGAAGTAGGCGCGATAAGTCGTGGCACGACTTGATGGCCAGGCTTTGCCTGTAGGCCCTGCTGCCAGGAAAGTCCGGCCACACGTATAATGAGGGCCGGCTCGGCAGGGAAACGTGATGAAATGACTGCCGTAGGTTGTAGTCAAAGCGATGCACAGGCTGACAGGGTAATTCACATCATGCTCAACTTATCGCCATCAATGACGTGAATATTTATCCAACTGTCATGTGCAGCGCGGAAGTTTTTTAAGTTCATGCCTAGGGGAACAAAAATATTTGTATGAATTTGTAGGCGTAGCCTGCTCAGACCTTGCGTCGCAATTAAGAAACATCAAACAAATAGGTGGAATTCTTCAATGAATATATATATATATATATATATATATATATATATACGTCATTTTAAGTAATCTCCGTCATTACCGTCAGTGAAATCACGTCCAATGGTGGAAACTTTTTCTTTTGAGCATAGGACGTTGAACCCGCAACCGCAACTCGAAGTTATCACTACCCGCTCCCACCGCTGGTCTGATACAGCTGCAGAATGTCGCGCGCCGGGCCCCATGAAAGTTGCAGGACCTTATTCTTACCGGCCCCGATTTTCTATGTCCAGATCATGTGAGGTCACCAACCTAAACGATCTTACGCAAGCAACAGATCCGAAACGTAGTTCAATGTAATTTGGCCATTTTTGGAATGCATTTCGAGCCGTTTTGCATGGGAGGCGTTGGGTTTAGACCACTTGCGGTGCCAAGCTTACGTGACTTTTGAACCCGAAAACTCAGCAGGCACCGATCCAGTTCGTGAGATTATAGTGCAGCCGACCTGTTTGCTAGACAAGGTTACGGAGGGCTTTACGTAACATACGGCGACATGGTCGCCCCGGTGCTGCGTTGGCTTTCTTCGGCAGGCTCCCAGCTGACCTTGCCCCGCTTCTTGTGCCGCAGAGCTCGTACTCAGTGTTGCTGGCCTGCGAATTCACCATACCTCAGCCAGACGATAGAAGGCGGCGGTAACTAGCAATTCGTTCTAGCGTGGCTATCCCTTGATATTGTTGGCCTTACCACCCAACTGGGTCTCTCGCAGACTCGCTGTCTGTCGTTATATCTCGCCAACGATCGCGAACTCTATTTAACCTTTAGTTTTTACGTTGATAACATGCGTTCCGGAATCTTGTTTTGTTGGTTTTTTATCAGGCATCGTTTCCTTGTGTGTAGGATGGTGCGTTTTCTCTGTAAATACCATAAAAGGTCATCGGCCTTATTTACGTTCACTTGTAGATTAGCTTATCCTTGCCCTTTGTTGGCTTATTTTAGAGCTGCATTCACAGCTTACTTGACAGTGTCGCTGTTTTCCGCGTTGAGTTTACGATGGTACACAAGAGATGATATCAGATCAGATACGTGAACTGAAATGCTGAGTTGTGTCAATAGATGTTTTATAGCGTCGTTTACCGGTTGTGTTCACTTTTTGCCCTAATAGTGCCACTCCTTCGCCTTGTTGTCCAGAAAGATCATCAAAAAATCACTCCCATTTCTCTTGCCTGCTTAGCTCTACTCAGTTCTATGATGATGATCTGTTCTGTCAGCGATTGCAGTCAATATGCCTTACTGCGAACGTTCATTTTAGATAGCAAATGTATTGCATGGCTATATAAATGACAAACAATGTTATACTGTTACACATCAGACTGACATGATTTCCGTATCATACCGTTGTGTTAGATGTGCAGAGCATCATGAGGAAAGCCATCGATCAACACCGTATCGCAGTCCTATTTAACAGCCATGATACCGTCGGAGACGAGACGATAGCCAGTGATGTAATCGTCAGCTGCGCACTAAATAACTAGAAGTCGCTGGTGCCCTAGAGAGGCCAGTGACACCTTGGAGAATGAAAGTTAGTCGCGCGGCAATCCGTGACCGGATGAGGCATGTCAAATTTCAACAGCCAGGCTGTTTTTTAGCATTCCTCCTGGCTGTTTCAGAATTTCCACTTACAGCGGTCGCCACAAATTCTTTCCTTGGACTTCTTGGTCTCAGTGGCGGAACAATGCAATTTTCTTCAACAAAATCATCCATTTTTTTTCAGCATGCGGCTGGCGCATTTACCCGTAGACTTTTGATCCGATTGTTTTTCTCACAAATCGCTCAGAAGCTTACTTAAATGGACGGCGAAGATGGCTAAGAGGGAATGGGAATGATCGGGGCAACCACATCTATCTTTGGAAAACAAAACTATCATCGCTTGATACCCAGCGTCCGACCGGGGGCCTGAGACAACCGCGCCCGGCCGGAGAGCGGGAGTTGACCTCTACCCCGGCATCAAAACTATCATCGCTTGATGCCCAGCGTCCGACCGGGGGCCTGAGACAACCGCGCCCGGCCGGGGAGCGGGAGTTGACCTCTACCCCGGCGTCTCAAATTTCCTGACACCGTATGAGAAAAACAAAGACACCGTTTTGAAGGTGTCGTTACATCATAAAGGA